CCGCTCGTGGGTGAACGGCAAAGGTCCGCTCTTTGGCAACCCCCAGGGCAAGGGCCCAGTCCCACCCGGAGGATTTACGACTGCGGGAGGGGCTATACAACGAACCCCCCCCCCCACCCCCTCCCCCACACATTTCGTTGTTCTGTTCTCGCTGGGGAGTTGTTGCCGAATGAAACACACACACTCGCGACGGAGGCACAGTGTGCGACCGGTGTGGACTCGCGTGGAGTCCTCGCTCATGCACCCTGCGCAATATTCGCTCCCTCGCTACTTTTCTTTATCTCCTCATCTTAAGGTGTGTATCTCGTCCCTCTCCCCGCCGTCATCCAACCCTCTTCCACTCTGCCTATCTTGGAATTCATCCACGCCATCAGTTCAGTGCCATCGCCCCCAACCATCCATTGACGTCGTCCGTCCATGCACAGGCATCTTGCTCGGTTCCTGCGCGATCTTCACGCCTCTCCTATAACATCTTCGCTCGTCTCCTTTTCTATCGTCACGCCGCTTCCTTTGAGCTTTCGCGATGTGACGGACCTGAAGGATCTGGAGGTTTACCATCTGCATCGTTCTCACAGTTTTTCGGTAAGTTTCTTCGAAGGACGATCAATCACGGGGAAGAAAAACTAATTGCCAATAGGTCACGGACAGGGGCGGATTCCATTTATCGATCGTGCCGGCTCATGTGCCACACTAGCGCGGCAACAGACCACGAGCCAAGGATACGACTTCCTCCCACCAAACACTAAGCACCACCCGTAGTCACTTAGCGCTCACCCCAGCTCGACTTCGACTTCGCTGTTACCACGAGCTAGGTTCATTCGCTGAAAACAGCGGACATGGCAGTGTCCCCAACCAGTGAGTGACACTAGTGTCCCGATGCCCAAGCTAGCAAGAAGCTCATTCTGCCTTGATCAAGCTTGGATCAAGCCCGTCCAGAAACTGTTCGCGTCAACAACCGCCCGCGCAAGAATAATGTTTCTCAAGAAAAAGAAAAAGAGAGAAAAGACAACCCTCATCACCTTTTTCCCTTCCCAATCCTTGATTACCCTCTCTTGACATGAAGCGTGTGGGGTACACCGGAGCCGGAGGCGCAGGCAACACGCTCGAAGTTAACATCAACGATAAACTCATTATGCGTGTTACTCGCACAGGTGTCCCCTCTCTTACTTCGTATCTCAATTTTTCTTCCATCTTGCGAGCATTTCTCTCTAACTGCTCTCACATGCCCCACTCTCAGTCCATGGTCTCATAAGATTCCTGCTGGCAAGCACGAGATCAACTAAAGTGGAGATGAGAAAAGCGACGAAGGCAATGACATGTTTTCACATGTCAGGACAAAGCATGCCCTTATGTCGACAATAATAGGGAACAAATATCTCTCCTAGGATGGCAGCCTAAATCACGCGAGGATGACTGTCTCGCTGCTTCGACGGACGCGGAGGTGACGTCAACCACACTACGCGCGCTGACTTCCTTCTCACCTTCTCTTTGCCTTTCTGCGCACCCAAGGTCATCCCCCAGAGGTCAATCTCTCACCATGCCTCTATGCTCGCATCGCCCATATGTACATAGAAAGTAAGCATTATCAGCTGACGCAAAAGAGCGAGTTGACATCAACCGGAACTACTTCACGCTCCGTCACAACCTCTCCCTCTCTTTCTCACTCACACCTTAACTCTTGATCCCCGCCACGTTGTGAAGACTCGCCACTGCTCAACAGGTGTAGAAAGTCGTGAGTGAATGTGGAGGCGATAACTGACGCCCGTTACCCCTCACAAGCTCGCGTCCCACTCATCCGTCAGCCCCTCCTCACGTTGACCCTCTCTTTTTCATAACCGCCTGTTCCCCTTGTCTTCACTCGCTGGCTCTTATCCTTGCCTATTCGCCCGCCGCCGTGAACTAGCCTCAGGGCCCCTTTCTACAAGTTCTGTGGCCGGGTGATCACGTCGCCACTGCTCCAATCCATACCAGGACTGAGTCTCAGCATTCAGGTCGCTTTCATCACTCTCCGCTTCAGTGTCACAATCTAGATGTTGTTGCTCCCGTTCCACCGTATTAGTCGAAGTCTCTGCCTCTAGGTACGACACGGTCACTTTTAATTTGTCCGTGACCCCATCCCTTCTACACCTCCTTTCCGCTTTGTCTTTAGCCTCTTAGATAGCCATCTGCAAACCTTGGTCTGTCCTCATTTCTTTTTCTTTCCCCCCTTCTACGTTCACCCTTAGTTTTGCCTCCCGCCTACCATAAGGAAGGGGCTTATGACCCTCTTCAGGAGTGATAGGCTTCCTACCGATGCGGTCGCTGGTCGCTCCTCTTTTGAGGTCCTGCCGCGCAGCGCCCGATCGAGCCTCCCAACCATCGGTACCAAAATGACAGGCCAAGTCAGTCTAGGCCACATACTGCAGCCTTGCTTGAAATTCAAACCGTTGGCCTTCCCGCGAAGTGATAGGAACCGAAACAAAATTAAATAATAGTAGTAATAATAATGATAATAATAGTAATAATAGGAAAATCAAAAGGATAAGGAAATTGTAACATCACAGTGGCCTGAAGCCACCTGATTTTTCCCGAACTAAAACGCGGGTTCAAATTTAACGATTTATTTTCCCTTTTTCCTTCCTTCTTTTTGACAACAACTTCTGCCCTGTGCACCTAACCCATAACCTGGTGAAGGGGTATTTGGCGCGTAGTAGAAAAGCCTACGCCCGTCCATCTACCTTCGCGTCCTAGGGCGAACCCGGTGGCTACCAATGGCCATAGGCCGGTAGTGCTCTACTATAGAGCAGGGCGCCGAGCCTGCGTGGACCAAAGGAAAGTCCTGTGGCGCACCCTCCTCCTTGTTGACGCAGGCACCAACAGGACCGGTCCACGTCAAGGTACAATCCAGGTATTAGGGTTTATAGAGATTCGGGAATGCGACTGCAGGCCACAACATCGAAGCAAAAGGCTGGTACCAAGCAGGGACTCGGTATGCAGAAGAGGGCCGGGACACCGCGCCCTCCGACACCTCGGCATTCCACCATTGCCGCGGTCATGACCGCGGGCTAGCGGCCCCGACCGCGGACCGTGGTCGTGCCTGCGACGACCGTGGCCGCTGGTGTTTCATAGCTCTCTCCCTCATTGCCTCCTACGTCCACGTACGAGGATCACCCTGAATGTCCCCACTCAGCACAGCCTCACACACTCTGAACACTTGTCTTCACCAACAGTTGGGCGACTATGGCCGCCGTCGTCTTCCTCCCGCTAACTATGGTTGCCGACGTCTACCCCACTGGCCAACTATGGCCGCTGTCTTCTTCACTGCCCACTTCGTCTCCAGGCACCTGCAGACCTCTATGCACAAGACACCAAGGCAGCTCTTCCRCATGGATCACAGGCGAATGAATGAATGGCTGGACGCTGCCTGTTTTCCACAGGTATGAACCTGTGTACCACCCACTCTCCGCAGGGAGCAGAAGAGGGTGTGGTTCTCAACTGCACTTGGCGGTTATCCAGCGTTGAGAGATTAACCCTCAAGGCTCGTGTCAGCCGATACTTGAGTGTCGAATGTGACCCTCGAGATTAACGAGGACCGCATGAGTATGGGTAGTACATAGTACGCCATCATTGCGATCGCTTGCGTATGCTTGCATTGCGAATCGATATGAGTTAACCCTGCGTCCGCGCGGTTTTACACTAAGTCTCGCGCGTGATGCTAATTCGATTTTCACATCGGAGAGTTATGGGATGGCTACTAAGGGACTAGGAGTGTTGTCGCTTTGTTTGTTCAGTGTCGTTTTGTGTATGTATACGTATGCGTGTGTGTTTTTAATGTGGTGTGCGCGTGGTGTGTGGGATGCGTCCTAGTCGACTGACAACGGGTCGCGCTTGGGACGTCAGCCCCCCAAGATGCCGATTCACGTGCGGGTTCGATAAAGGCGTAATACCGCGCGTACCCCCTATGCTACAGCGAACGAGAAACGCCCTCGGCTGGTCCACCTCAGAGATTGCAACTGATCAACTTTCGTACTGTGGACTGGTAGCTTGGCGGGGATACGCCCACCGAAGGGAGGTGACAGCTCCCGTAAGGTGGAGGTAAGTCGTGCCTCGCGTAGGCCCTGTCCTTTCGTAGGGGCTCGCGAGAGGTATCGCTGGCGCACTCGGCCGGAGCGACTTGCGGAAGCTCCATGTATATTTGCGACGAGGATTTAGATGAACTCCTGTATGACGTGGCCCGGAGGGTCTCGCGCTGCCCCATGCGGTGCCGGACCGATGCACTCGACACCGCTGTTTCATTTTTTTACTTTTCTTTTTTTTTGATTGATTGCTTGATTGATTGATTGATTGATTGATTGATTGATTGATTGAGTGGTGGGGAAGTGGCCGCCCTTTCCCCCCGCGTATGCACGCACACATACACACACACACACACGCACACACACACACACACACACACACACACATGAAAAATAAAAAAATTCATTTTTTTTATTACGTTTCTTTTGATTAAGAATACTTGTTTTTTGGGTTCTTTATTTTTTTTTTAAATGCAAAAACACTTCATAATCAAAAACAAAAAATATAGGGTTGTAGGTATCTCCAAACCCTACGACCCCATTTTTTTTTATTTTTTTTGGGTCCATTAGTTTTTTTTTTTAAATGTTTGAAATTCTCGGACGCACCCAACCGCATGGGCCATGGCCTGCGGTCGGGATCCCGACCGCAAACCGAGTTTGACCCCTCAGCCATGACCGCGGGGGATTCATAGGCAAACGATGCCAAGCTCCAATGAGAATTTCCTCATGGAGTGCGAATTGTGTGGCCAGGGGTTTCAGGGCAGTCAAACGGAGGCCGCTATGCACTTCACGATAAAGAACAATTGCCCCAAAGTCTCTATGTAGCAGCTGGCGAAAATTTGGAACAAGACGAACTATACGTTCGATCAGAGCCATTGTCGGAAGATCCTTGACTTCTTGAAGTCTCGTGGGTATTGAGACAATAGATGTACTTCGAGGAGGGAGCAGACGGGGGAGGAGGAGGAGGACAGCGAGGATGAGAGGAGGGCAGCTGAGGATCGAGCGGATGATGATCACAACGATATGCCGACCATGGGCGTGCAGAGCGAGGTGGAGCGAGCCAGGGGCAAGATGAGGGGGGAGAAGGCCGTTGATGAGGACAACACTCCTGGCGAGGACGACGACGACGACGACGACGACGAGGACGCGGACATTGGAACCTCTCTTGATGGGGGGTTGATGGTCGGTGGCGGTCGAGGCCAAGAGGGGGCAGCCAGAGCGATGATGGAGGCAAGGGGATCGCAAAAGCGAAAGAGGAAGGCAAAAACTACTGTCACGGGAGCTCCACGGGCACCCACTGTGACGAAGAAGAGCAAAGTCCTTCGACATATTTCCATGGTCGAGGCCTTCAATCCCGTTTGGCAACGTGATTTTTCCAACTACTTCCTGCAGTGGTACTACGTAAGCGGCATTCCATTTGAGGCGGCGAGGAGGGCAAAGTACCACAGAATGAGGAAGCACTTGCTTGAGTGTCCGTTGTACACACATCCTGCGTTGCCCATGCACTGTGAGATTTCGGGCAACGGCATCCCTGAGCAGTAGCGAGTTGTGGCTGAGTTCGTGGCGACCGTTGTAGGGGCCGTATCCTGAAGGACTTTCGGGCCTGAATCCCCACTGCGGGTCCCATTTGGCTCGACCCGCCCACACTCACGCTCAGGGCGAGGGTCGTTCGTCCCTGGGGCATCCCCACCTAGTGCTTTGAGATGGATGGGGATGGGCCTTTTGCGAGAGGGCTTAACAATGGGGGATGTAGCTCCGCTCTCGCGTCAAGATGGTAGCTCTTTGGTCACTCGTGGCGTTTTCTTGATTCGATTAGGTCTGACCAGACAATTGCACCTTCCAAAACGCAGGCAGTCCAGGGAGTTCGTTGAGGATGCGTCTTCTTGCCGCGCGCAGGCCAAGCGTCATCCATTGGGCCACGTGCCTTTTCACTAAGTCTAGTGGCTCAAGACAGCCCCTACGATATCCTTGGGGTGGGGTGACTTCGCCCGGGCCCCTAGCCGCTATATTTTTTTTTTTTTGCTTAAGCCGCTAGCATTGCATTCACCTATCCAAGACTGCCCTTAGTCCTTTCGGGCTTGCATTGCATTCAAGAGAGTCATTGCATTCAATCATCACACAAGCCACATCCTGGCATCTACCATCTATCCAAGCATTCGACCGTCAAACCCATACTGCATTCATAGTTTTATGCGAGGTCTAAGTCTTTCCCTTATCCAGTTTTTCCGGTGGATTCAGTCCCGCTCAACCCATCGCTAGTTACTCACCTGCACAACACCACACGAAGCATGGACCAAATACAAGCCCCATTGGGGTCAACACACCGCCCCTTCCCACAATCCTAAGCTTCCTTTGCCCTTCGATGACCTTTTGGTTGTCTTTCCCTTCCCTCAAGCAAACCATGCCTTTATCTTAGTCATGCAGTCGGGGAGGATGGTTGAGTCAAACTGACCTTGTCATAAAAATAAAAACAGCACTCCTTTCCGCTTTTTCCGAGGCTTACAACAGTCCGGTGCCCTCCCTTCTTGGTGGCACAAGGGATCGGCAACCCTCCCCTTGCCCTCGCTTTCCACCAAGTGAGGACCAAATTCCTTGTCGTTCGTTCCCTGGCAATGTAACAGGTGAGGGTAGAGGTTAGTCACGGGCCATGGAGGGGAGGGGGAGAGGGGAGAGCTTAAGAGTCAAAGGTCTTGGGAAAAGGAGGGAGGGGAAAGAGAGAGAAAGAGAGAGAGCTAGAGAGAGAGAGAGAGAGAGAGAGAGAGAGAGAGAGAGAGAG